TATATATATAATTGTTTAATTTTTTTATATTTTGCCGCTTACATTTTATTTTATTTATTTATACTTTTTATAATTTATATATATTTTTAAAATTTTATTCAAACATATTTTTAATTTTTTTATATTTTGTTCGTTTATATTTTTTTGACATTTTATTTGAATTTTTTTTTTTTATGTTTTGCTCGAATATATCATTTAATGTTTTTTTTGGTCTTTTGTTTTTTTATATATTTGTAAAGCTTTTTATAAATATTTTTTGTTTAAAAAATATAAAAAATGTTAGTTAAATGAGAATATGATTCACATATTAGATATATAATTATTTATTTTAATAGGGTTATTGTATAGCCTAATCGGAATTCAAAACGAGTGTTAATGGCTTTGAATTCAATTTTTTTAGTTTTATAAATTTTTTTTACATTTCGTTCCGAATGAAAAATGCTCATCAAAATTCATATAACTTAAACACATATGTTAATGTTTTTCAATTCATTTTTTATTTTTTAAAAAATTTATTCGTTTTTGAGTTATATGGTTTTCCAATCACCTTTTATATAAACTGAAACCATTTTTCGTATTTCAGTGAGTCTATCTATTAATCTTATTAAAAATATAATTTTATATCTAATCTAATTTAATAATATTCACATTTAACAAACTTTTTATTACATTTCTTACAAAAAAGTATAAACAAATAAAACGTTAAAAAAACATATTCAAACAACATGCCAATAAACTAAAAAAAATTATTCAAAAAAATATCATAAAAATATAAACGAGAAAAATTTTAAAAACATTTTTTTTTGGTATGGTGTTTGAATATACTGTTTAATGTTTTTTATATTTTTTTCATTTATGTTTTTACGATGTTTTTTTGAATAATTTTTTTTTTTTAGTTTTTAGGAATGTTGTTTGAATACACTTTAATTTTTTTGACGTTTTTTTGTTTATACTTTTTGTAAAAAGTATAAAAAAAAAAGTTTGTTAAATGTGAATATTATTAACTTAGATTAGGTATAAAATTATATTTTTAATAAAATTAATAGATAACTCACTGAATTACAAAAATGGGTTTCAGTTTATAAAAAACTAATTGGAAAACCATATAACTCAAAAACGAACAAAATTTCTAAAAAAAAAAGAACTAGAAAACATTGACATATATGTTTGAGTTATATGAATTATAATTAGCATTTTCCACTTGGAACGAAATGTAAAAAAAAATTATAAAAAAAATGAATTCAAAGTTATTGACACTTGTTTTGAATTTCGGTAAGCATATACAATAACCCTATTAAAAAAAAATTATATACAAATATGTGTTAATCATATTCTCATTTAACTAACCTTTTTATATTTTTTATACAAAAAGTATTTATAAAATGCTTTACAAATATATATAAAAAAAAAAAAACAAAAGATCAAGAAAACATTAAAAGATATATTGGAGTAAAATATCAACAAAAAAAAAACTGATCTACAAAAATTATTTGAAATGTCAAAAAATATAAACAAAAAACATTAAAAATATATCCAAATAAAATTTTTAAAAAATATAAATAAAAAAATAAAATGTATGCGGCAGAATTTTAAAAAAAAAAAATTAAAGTTAATTGTCGCTAGAATTTTACAAAGTGAATTGTCTATTTTACCCCTCTCCTTTAAACTCCTATGTATCCCTTCTATTGGTTTAAAATCAAAATTCCTTCTGGTGTTTATAAATTTTTGCTTTCAACGCCTCTAAACCTTCCCTGTAAAAGAAACCCAACTCTTTCCACTCTCACACAATGGGTCTAACTTTTGTTTGTGTAAGAAATAACGTGAGTTTTTGTCATATATTCATCAATTAGGAGAACAATTTGAACTATTTTGAGTTTGGAATTGTGTAGGTCCCAGCTTCGCAAGAAGGTTGTTTGCAGGTAAACAACTAATGATCCCCCTACTCATATGCATGTTATTAAATATTTTTCCCCTCAATTCCTTTCTTTCTCCGCAACAGGTTTTAGATACTAAAGTTCATATTTGAAGGCAGGTTTACAAAAAAAATACAAATGTGATGAGAACAAGACAAAGCATACAATAGACTCAAATACCTACAGTTGGCTGTAATGACACGTTTGTACTGTCTCTTTGGTTTTTTTAAGGATTTTTTTTGGTAATATGAAATTACTATCATTCAATTCTTTTTGGTTTTTAATCTATAGTGAACAACTTTTTTAGGTTTCTGGTGTGTTTTGAAAATGAATTACAATAATTCTTATGTAGTTCTAAGTAGATTGTCAGTGGAATGTTTTGTGATATTTGGAGTTCTTTTTGTGTCCCTTAGTGTCTCTATTTTTGGAGGTGTTGTTGTTTTTTTATATCACATTTATTTCTTAAAGTTTTGAATTTGTCAGCCTTTATGTTTGATTTGTTATTTGTTTCTCCTAATGCTTAGATACTGATAAGATGTTCCTGTCAACTTGCAAACCAGGTGTTTGCTAAAAGTCCCAAGTGAGAACTTTAGTTTTATAACCAAGTATTTATAAACAAACATCAATATCTAATTTATTCGACTTAAATGAGAGAATATACTATTAAGAAGTGCAATGAACAATGTTGAAGCTTCTTAATCAAGTCGGAATGCGGGATGCATTCAAGGCATCAAGCAAGATTAATTTACTTTTTTTTTTTCCCACTTGTAATTGGGTTTAGGCAGTATTAATCGAACTATTTATATATTATTTTTAAAGAAAATAGTACCCTTACGTATATTTCTGTAAATGAGAGAATATACTATTAAGAAGTGCAATGAACAATGTTGAAGTTTCTTAATCAAGTCGGAATGCAGGATGCATTCAAGGCATCAAGCAAGATTAATTTACTTTTTTTTTTCCACTTGTAATTGGGTTTAGGCAGTATATATATATATATATATATATATATATATATATATATATATATATATATATATATATATATATATATATTTGAAGGTAGGGTTGTCCTTTCACTGTACAAGCAAGCTTTTTTCTTCAACACAATGATTATTAAGTGCATTTTTTTTTTGTTGATCTTAAGCCTCTAATCGAATCTTTATGTAGATTTGCTCAAAGGGTTTTGATAACGAAATTATTAGAGAACATGGATGAAGTTTTTGTGGTGAGAGCTTCACAATTTCTCCTACTTTTCCTTTTATTATGAAAGTTAGTCGAATTTATGCTCCACTGATTACCGTATTTCTTAGTTGTTGTTGTTGGAATGTGGTGGTTAATTTTTTGAAATAGCAATTAAAACTGTTTACACCTTTTTTCCCTCTATACTTTTTTTAAGATTATCTAAGAATTAAGGTTTTAATTTTAGATAAGGATGGTGCTTACAAACAAAATTTCAAATACTGTGTATAAAGAAATTTTTAGAAAATTATAAAAAAGTTAGTTTTTAATTTGTAATTTATTGTTTTATGTTTATTTATCTTTATTACATTTCTGTTATATTTAATTTTTCGTATATCAATGTCATTTGCATGATTGTTTGTGTGTTTTACATTTTATTCAAATTCATATATATATATATATATATATATATATATATATATATATATATATATATATATATATATATATATATATATATATATATATATATATATATATATATATACTAGCCGTTTACCCGCGCCTGCAAATATTTTTTTTTCAGAAATTGGTATCTAGAGGCGATTAAGTCTTTTGTGCAAATAGGTTACTACATCTAAACAATTATCTATAAGAATCATGTTACCATATACGAAATCAGAAAGAATAAAAAATATGAGTTAGGGTTGTTAAAAATGTGTACGAACATATGATTGATTATTCATTATTAATCGTGAAACACTTCTTTATATACCACATTTGATGTATAGACTTCACTTTTTTTGAATTGTTCGTCAGGATTCACTAATACTTTTGTATTGACACATGATATCCCTCAAGATAATGACACATAAAGTTGACAATGTGAGAAAATCAATTCATAAAGATAAATACCAATATTTGGAATTATTTTTCCATGAGGTTTATTGATTGTCACCGCGAAACATAACCAATTTGGAAATTATTCTCTTTTCAACTTGAATAAGAACATGTCATCTTCGGAGGAACAATGAGGAATACTTGAAAAAAAACATTCTTTTTTCCATCATGTTGACTAACAACTATTTCAGTATCAATGTCATTGTGCTTGAAAACTTTTACATATCAATCGTGTGCCCTTACACAATCTATTTTGGAAACGCATATGTATGACATATTTTCTAATTATTTTCCAATAATTTTTTTTTTCTATTTTCCAAAATTAAAAAAAAAAAACTTTTAATATTTATAAATGATTTGTTAATAGAAATATACATTAGTTCAAGGTTGATTTTAAAAAAAGTTTCAATATTTTGATCGTTAGTAAAATAACGTTTTAGAAAGTCCCAATATTTTGATCAAATTAAAAAAAATAATAATAATAAAAAATAAAAAAGACAAGAGGCCGACTAAATCTGCGTAACTGGAGAAAAAAACTTTTTCCGAAGTTTTAATCAGTCATCTGTCATTTTTTATAAAAATAATAATAATTATTATAATAATTTTATATTAAACTATGAACTGACCCAAAATATTGAGATTTTATTGGAGATTTTCCATTAATTTATCCAAAATTACAAAATATAGTGATTTTACTATATATAAAAAATAACATAATAATGTTTTTGAACATTGAGGATAAATAAGTCTTCTACATACTGAAGAGTCGTGAATAAGGATTACATAATCTGGTATTATTAAAGCTCCCTAATTCTATCATTTTCATCAATCACAAACATTATTTGATATGTTCTTAGGGACATTTCCTAGTTCCTCATTAGGTTGGGCAACTTTTAAGTATTTAGAATACTATTATAAGGTTTGGGATCGAACAACTATGGTCTTCATATTTAACTGCATTCTACATTCAATTCCATCATCTTACGTTACCATTTGACTATGAGGTAAAAAATAACTTTTAGCTTCATAATTTATATAAGTTGTTATGAATTTTCTTATCAAATTGATAGCAATCTAATGTTAAATTCTATAGTAACACATAGAAACGACCATTAATTAGTTATAACAAAATAAAAATGAATAAATTTCATATACCGAAATCCAAGAGTTTGACATGAAAAAAACTTTTCTCTACCTTATACAATTAAAAGTTGCAGCCATATTACAATGACAATGGCCATCTAGTCTGCATAAATGGATAACTGTTGTTAAAACACAATTGAAACAATTTGCATTACAGTAAACACAAACAAAAATAAAACTTATCAAATGGTACAGTAATTTGGTGTGGCAACACTTACAACTTGATTAATTGGTTGAGTGACAGGCTAAAGATCACAAAACGAATTTGATCTCCATCCTCCACGTCATAGTTGTAGCATTAGTCACCCATGCAATTCACATTCAACTCTAGTGCAAAATGGAACTCTTTAAGCCTCTAATTAGCTTCATAATTGAAATAATGTATGCAAACCAAAAGAAAGATTAAACACCTAAATAAAGTTGATCTTCATTACTTATTCGTTGTAAGAAAAAACACATGAACATTAAAAGCAACGTCATTCAAACCCACAAACTTCTCCAATTAAAAACAAAGAAAATTTCAACAAAGCCTAAAAAGTTTCTTAACCTTGAAACATTTATTCGATATAGAACACTAAAAAAATAGTAAATATACTTTTAGGTAATATATATACATTTCCAACGGTTCAACTTCATGTTTTTGTAGTGAGTTATTATAGGGGCATAAGAAGGTGGCATTCTCCGTTTTCTCATCCTATTGATCTATATATACACACACCAACTCAACTATCAATCAATGGAAATTAATTTAGAGTTTGATAAAAGTACATAAATACCAAACATACCCTTCAAAAACTTGTATAGATTTTACAAAGAACAAAATTAGCAAATTTGGAAACAATATTTGACTATAAAAATTTGAATGTTCTAAATTTCACAGGTTAGACATAAATATTTGTAACCATTCAGTTAAGATGTTAAAAATATGAATGAAATTATAAGATACTTAACCAAAATTATACATGCAGCGAGTAAGCTGTCCAGCAAGCGTTTTCTCCAAGAGGAAAAAAACAAAATAATAATAATAATAATAATAATAATAATGCCATTTGTTCTTATTTTCCCACCACACATTCAAAGCACCAAATAAACTTTCCTTAGCCTACCAGTGATGACAACTGACAACTTATACAGACCTACTAAAAACTATCACATTTGATATTAACCAGAAAAAGACCACAATACCCTTTATTTTTAATTTTGCCCCAATACTTTAAATTATCATATTGATTTCTTCTCCACGATGCATTCTTAAATCATAAAAATTCATACAAACTTTAATAACCCAATTGCATTTGACAATTGATAAAGATGAGAGAAAGACCATATTGCCCTTTTATCTTATTTTCGTAAATGTCATCAATATCAAAAAAAAAAAAAAAAAAAAAAAAAAAAAAAAAAAAAAAACTATTATAATTTTATTGCACTATTCCTTACAAATACTAAACCATTCTTTTCTTTTGTTGTACCAACCATACTCACAGTTCTTGTTGCTAATGTGGACAAACCTGATAGTTTGACATATCCCATAAAAAGACCACTTTGACCTTCATGCTTACTTTTGTAGCAACGCATCCATCCTATATGGTTCTTCAATAGAAAAGGACTAAACCATATTAAATTGCTACCAATTATATAACTGCAATAATTAGTGGACAAAAGATGAAGACTCACATACCAAGTTCGTGGTTAACTGATTAAGACATAAGAGCACCTGCATGAATCATGCCATAAAGGGAATGATATTTAGATCAGATTTTATTTTGAAAACCTATTTATAGTTTGATAAAATACCTTTAGAGGTTGCATATACAGATATGGAAGGAAGACCAGTGACACCAACAATATAAGAGATGAAAACGATGGTAGCATTATATATGAAAGATAAATAATATAAAAGAACATACCCCAGGAGCTTTTTCTATCATTTTGACTTTGGAAAGTATACAATCTAATAAGTTGTCATTCATTAAAGTGGAGGCGAATAAACGCTTATTATCTAGAATATCAATAGCTTTTTTCATAACCTGAGTGATAATAAGTTGGAAGGAAAAAGGAAAAGAAAAAAGAGTTGAATATCAAATTCTAATAAATATACAAATAGAAAAGGTTGCAGAAACTAACCGTATCTTCGGCTCTGAAAACCCACTGCACTCTAGAGTGATTTTTATCATTAGATGTTTTGAAAAACTCCACAGTCCTGCCAACATGTTTTTGCTTTCCCTCACCCTGAAAAAATTTACTCACATAAATGACCTTCTTACCCCTGTAGTGAAGAATAGAAATGGCAATGCTAATACATAATGATCTAAACAATTGGTCATAAAACTGACCTTGTTATCAAGGAACTTGTTAAGAATTAGTCAAACTAACCTCTACCTTTTTTTTAAAAAAAGGAATATAATAATGAAAAGATCAAACCTCCTTAATTTGAAGAAAACCTTTGACTCGTTCTTGATAATCTAGTGAGTTATCAGGATCAATCACTTTAAACACAAGAAACATTATAGCAACAGCCATTACAGATGGAAGATAAACCAGAGACCTTGAATCTGCATTTCGTGTTTATATTACATACTTGATTTGAATTAAATCAAAATCAAAACAATTCTTTGAGTCATGACAATATGATTGAGTTTATGAAGGGTTTTTAGAAGGTTACCATTGACAACGGCAAGAGCAATTCTTTCGCATCTGTTCATGAACTCTGAATGAAGCCGATGAGTGATTAAACCAAGCCTCCTCATTGTGTAATCGAATATTGCAAGTGGGGTTACTGGATTCATCTTCCATTGAAGAGACAAAAGCACTAAAAGCTCCATTCTCATTATAGTCTTGGATTCGAATACGTATTTTGATCCTTCAACCTAAACGAAAACAACCTACAAAAGAAAGAGATGTGTTAATAACAAAATAATGACATTGGAATTTTCACAAACAGTTGGAGTGCATTCGTATAGATTAGATGTGATGGATATGGATAAGGATATGGATACATACTTACAGGTCCAAGAGAAGAGGGATATGGATTTCTTCAACTTTAGAAACAAAAGAAATACAAGCGACTGCAGCTAACTGATTCATCAACGGCTTATCTTTCTGGAAAGAGTCGCTCTACAGGAATCTATCGAAGTAATTAACAGCCAAAATGGTTATCATAACAACAAATTCATCATGGGTACTAACCCTAATCATCCAATAGACATATTCTTTCCTTAAACCTATTAAAACCCTATCACTGAACAAATACCCTTCTTAATAAACAATATTTTTCTCTTTAGACAAAAGGGAAGCAAGCTCGTCTTCTTCCCACAACAGATCATGTTCAAAATGGGTAAAAAGATGAGCTTTTTGTTTCACGAATTTGAATTTCTTGTTAAAATAAACCAATCCCAAACCCACATCCAAAATCCAAATCGTTTTCTTGATCATCGCATAAAAGACCATCATCGAAAGAAAATGCAGGTTTTCAGAACACATATTCTCGTTTTTCATCTTCATGTTGTAAGTAGATGTAAGAAGTTCCAATCCATTATCTTAAAGAAAACAAATAGACGAATGCGAGATGAATCAAAAAAGATTGGTCGAGATGATGTGAGAATTAGGTCAAAAAGATAAAATAATGGGAAATTTTACCAGGTAAATGTCTATAATGACCGAGGTGTTGTCGAACCTATACAACGACATTCTAGAAGGTTCCATGGCGGTCTCATCAAGCCCTAGAGTTTTCTGCAACAGAAGGAGTCACTTATCGAGCGTAGTTATGTTCGATCTGATGACAATGGATACAATTTTGGAAAGGTCTTCGATAGTGGTGATGCCTCTTATCCCGACTTCGTCTTCTTCCTGAAAGATGCAGTTGTACGAAAGGTCGAAACTTGATATGTTGGTGTGTACCGTGTGGAGGAGTTTGCATTTGCAATTGTGACGATCGGAGGGACGGTTTGAGAGGAGGATAGCCGCGCCACCAACGCAGAAGACAACGTAACATGACCTAGGGTTTCTCGATGAAGACAATTAATTTTGGGTTTTTGTGAGTAACTGTGAGCCTAGGAATAAAAAATATTGCAATGAGAAGCTATATTTCAAGAAATGTGTAATATGTTTAATAAGATAGTTAATATATATATATATATATATATATATATATATATATATATATATATATATATATATATATATATATATATATATATATGAGAGAGATATTTTAAATAATCAATATAAGTTTAAACAAAAATTATATCTTATAAATTTAATAAAATTTTATAAATCTTTGATTTTTCAATAGCATATTTAATTAACAATATTTTTTTTACCCATAGTTTTCACAGCTTGTAACCTAATTAAGAATATAAGTTTTTTAATGAATTGTGAAAAATAAATATACAAACAAAATGGTGATGATCCATATACTGCATTTTTTAGCAATTTTTAGCCGTGTACAACTTGTGCTTTAGTTTAGTTGTATAAGTTGTATAGTAATATAATAAATTAAAAACAGTTGGAAGTGGTGTGAAATTAGGATACCTTCACCCTAACTATTTAAATATCGGATTAGCATAAACGGAGCCACTGCAGCCAAACCGGAGCCCCAACTGGACCAGGACACTGTCCGAGTGTCCGTTCATCTCAGCTTGTACAAAGCTCTCTTTGATACTCATCGATCAATCGATATAATGGCTGCGATTCATAAAACCCTAGTATTTCTCATCTGGGCAGTGATTATATGTTCTGTTGAAGTCCTTGCCAAGACATCTCCCCGCCCAATTTCTGTAAGATTTCGATTGAAATAATCACAAATTAATCTTTGTTCTCATCTGGGCATGCTTAATTTCTGATTTTAACGTCTGTGGTATATACACAGGACACCGAAGTTCGACAGAGGAAACAAAATTGTTACTCAGACATTGAACTGTATGTTCGATCTCCCCCTTTTTAGTTCTTCAAAAAACGAAGCAATGATTTTAGTTTTTCTTTATCACAATTTTCGCCTCCGTTTATCTATATTGACATAGTATTCATAAGTTACCTAAACAATAACGTACTAATCACTCTCAAATAGGTTGAATCCTGAAGTCAATAGCCACTAAGTCGACCTTCAATTGCAGAATTTCGTTTCCTTTCTTTAACAGTTCTCAAACTAGATGTATTAATCAATTTATCATCATAAAACATGTATGATTACTCTTCAATACTATTGATACTGATTTGTTGATTTATTTTTGTGGGGTGGAAAGTGGATATTGGGGCAAGCAATGCAAATCTTCAATGGTAGCAAAGGAGAATTGTGCTTTAAAATGCCTGTCACCAACTTGCTATGAGCTTATTTATGAGAGTGATCCAGTAAGATACTACCATAGTCTGTATATTTGTTACACATGACATGACAAGTTAAACTGTATTTGACTGTAACTAGTCTGTGGTCAGTGGTCCCACCCAAAAAGGTGACATGACAAGTTAAACTGTATTTGACTGTAACTAGTCTGTGGTCAGTGGTCCCACCCAAAAAGGTGTGAAAGGGTGAATATTTGTTAAACTGTATTTGACTGTAACTAGTCTGTGGTCAGTGGTCCCACCCAAAAAGGTGTGAAAGGGACGCAAAAGACATGAATACCCTCCTTATCATCAAAATAAAAAAAAAGAGCCCTATAAAGTTCTATCTAGTGTAACAAATGGAGCCTCATAATATATTTTGACTTGGATTGATATGCTTATTCTTTTATTTGGTGGATGTTTTTTATCAGCTGGAAGAAGGGGAGAAAGATTATGTGAGGAGCCAAGAGTACAAGTACTGTATGCATAGGTTAGTCTTTTTCTTGAAGACTTAATATATAGTATTGTACTTTGAAAAATATACCCAATTATAGCTATATTGAAACGAAAATAATTCGGTAGATTGAAAGTACTTTGCTACATCTTATTTGATAGATAGAATCAAATGATTTCAAATTTTGAATCTATTTATCATATTATCATTAAACAATTTGTTTTCAGATTGTCTTTGGGAGAGAGCTTGGATGGTGTTAGAGGTTCTTTTGATTAAACAAGGAATTGAAGACTAAAAATGTGTTGTGTTTTAAACTAGTATTTAAGAAGGTTTGCTTTTTGGAAGGGTTAAAACTTTTTTTTTTGGTGTAAAGTACTTGTAATTATTGAAGTTGTTTGATTCCTGGAAATGTTCATGTGCGTTGTCATGTTGTACCTGTTGCTACAGAAATTGTACTGTTTTAAGGTGATTCTTAAGAATGTTGTGCACCTATATAAAGGTGTACAAAATAGTAGAAGATTTGGGTATAGTGTTTACAGGTAATCATAAGCTCTTATGCTCTGTTTTCAGAGTTTATAGAGTAAAGAAAAAAAAAAGATAGTGAGTTATTATACTTTATATTTTTAGATCTTAATATAACTTGTAACACCCAAAAAGTAAAAGATGGACAGAAATTGAAAACCAATTGGGAAATTGAGGCTAAATGGTAAAAATAAGTTAAAATTTCAAAGAAGAGTGGTGAATTATAAGTCTCGCAAAGTTTAGGGACCTGTTCTGAACATTACATTTTGCAACAGAAACAACTCTCTTTGAACGCACAAAACACTTCAAATTTTAGAAAATGGTTAATGTCATAAAATTGCCTCTATGTCGATATTTTTTCTTTTAATCACTCATCTTTAATTTGTACTTAATAGAGCAACAAACCATTTTTGCTATTTATGTTAAACAGATTTCAATCTGGTAAATTGAGTTTTAATCCTACATGGCAAGATTTGTACATTTTGTGTCCATATTGGATGCCATGTAGGATTGGATACCGGTTTGGAGGTTTAAAATCCAGTTTGTTAGCTTAATAGAAACACTACAAAAACAAGGTTAATCTCTAGTTAGGCCGAACCTAAAGCTAATTCGGATCCAAGCTAGGCTAAACCAATCAAAGTCGAGCAATTAAGGCCGAACATAATCCAAGTTGAACCTAATCCAAGTTAAACCATACATAAAACGCGGTTGATCCCAAGTTAAACCATACATAAACTAGATTATGACCCGCATAAAACGCGGATGAACATATAAAAAAGTACATATAAAGTTTTAAAAAACCGACATAACAATAATAATAATAAAAGATAAAGTAACATAAAGAGACTTTGTGTTATTGGTTATACTGAAATGTGTAAAAAAATAAAATGAAATGCATGAATATCTATAAATGTTGAATGATCTTTTTGCAAACAATATATTTTTTTTTATTTTATTAGTTTGATGACCTTTCTCATCACATAAGTTGCATTTTTAGTTGAATTCTCTGTCATTTTCATTTTCAATTAATTTTTTTTTTCTTTTATTTTTTTAACGAAGGAAAAACAACATAATTTTTTTGTATGAAAAAAATGGAAGTATAATTTTTTAGAAGTTATTTTTAGAAACTGATTAATTGATTAATTTTTATATAATTAGAGAAGTTTCAATTAAATGAATGATCCATATTTTTTTTCTCTGGACAAATCATTTTCTTTCGAATGAGTAAATTCTTTCCAAAAATCTAATTCAAGAACCAAACATCGTAAAACCAAATTACTTAGGGAAACTTCTTGACTTTAGTTAGATTTTTATAAATGTGGAGACTAAGATGATTTTTGCAATTGTGTAATGTTCAAACATGATGTCATATTTAACATGTTTTCTTTTAGAAATTAGTGTTATAAGAAAAAATATATTTTTGGCAAACAGTTATTTGAGAAAACATATCATACTGAAAATTATAGATAACACATCATAAAATATTATTTTCATTAAGCAGCGGTCACATATATCTATATAAACAACGACAATAAATAGTTCTCTTTTGAAAAATATCATATTTCAAATAACACAGCATATAGAAAATATGATTTTCCGTTAAACTATCTATAATAAAAGGAAAATAACTTCAAAATACATATCATTTACTAAGTAACAAATAGTAAAATTTGACAATAAATATAACATTAGCATAGTGGAGTGGTTTCATTGATTTGCAATTATGTAATCGTACAATACAATACAATAGAATATATATATATATATATATATATATATATATATATATATATATATATATATATATATATATATATATATATATATATATATATATATATTACAAAGGATAAAAGCTATGCCTTGTCTATACAACTTCCATATCTATTCATATTTTGGTCTAGGCTAAACGTAAATGTGCATTTGAATAGTAAACTTGTATTTTAATCATAATTAAACCGAAAACTTTACTTTTCTACTGATAACAACGTAACAACAATTTCTTATTCTGAACCAAAAAACAAATTACAATTTCTTTATTTTTTTAACCTTTTGACAACTGATTGGATTAACAACATCTTTCTATGACAAAATCTTCTTATCCAATGAATATTACAATATTATCCCTTGACAACAACTTGCAATTTTTTATTTGATTTTCTTCAACTACCAAATAAAAACTTACTACATTTGATCAAACCATTACTATTTTTATCGGTCATTCTATCTAATGAGAACTTCCCTGCATAAGCTATTAACACAAAAAATAATAAATCATGTTTAAAACTCATAAAATTCAAAACAAAATGCGTCTGCCACTTTATAAAGCGTAATCATAAAATCAAAAAAATAAAAATATTATAATTTGTAAAACTTATGAAGAGAGAAAAAATTTAAAAATTCAACATTGATCTACATTAATTTTGTTTGAAATAAATCTTCGACTCATAGCAATTTGTAAAAGTTCTTTCCTTTATTAAGATTATGTTTTTCATGCTTACATTTTTTAACATGAGAACCCCCTATCTTGGAGCCCATCCATTTCTTTATCATTCCCATGTTCATCAATTTCATGGAAGGGGTAAGAAGATGACACTCTAATACCATCATCTTCAATTTCATTAAACAGAGAATATATGTTTCCACGCACATCTCTGCATTAAATAATTGATGCACACTTAACCAATACTTTGCTAATTTGAATAACATAAGATCAAATTGATGCAAAATGATAGAATTCTTGTGAGCTGTGATATCATAGAAAGTGATGTGACTACCAATGTGACACTATTTGTTTTCTAAATGTTTGCAATTGCAATAACATATGACATGATATACTTACATAAGACTCATTTTGTTTAAATTTTCAATCTAGTAACTAAGACATGTTGATTAATGAATTTATCTTGGAAAACTAAGATTTAATCAGGATGTGGATGGACATGTAAAAAGTTGTAATAAAAATGATTAGAAAAACATATAATTATCATTATCTATTTATCCCTAAAGCTAATCAACTTAGTATCTTCGTCTTGTATGATTTTGGTCATAGGCAATAAACACTTTCAAAACAGGAGTTCAAACAATACCTAAACTTATTTCAATAAACAAAAAAGGAAGGCAAAAAAAAAAACAAAGCATTATACTAACAATTTCATAAAAATCGAGTAAAATGTTTACTTGAATATAATCTCTACCAACAATATTAAACATTACATCGAGCAAGTGGTTGACGAATCTTGAAATATAATTTTTTATAAAATACAATATCCATAATATAGTTTCTGTATGAGAACATCACACAAAGATATAACTGAAGTCATAATTTTAAAAAGAAATGATTGCAGGGGGCTAAATCTTCAAACAAACCACAATAATTACATATGATAAAAATGAATCCTCCATATCACAGAGGGGATGACGAACCTAACTTTGAGTGGGTTGGAGAAAGAAAATGAAATACAATTGAATCTTTGATTCCATGTGAGATTATAGGACGCATTTGTTGGTAAAGACGAATTTTTCAGATGGAGGAAACACAAAGACGCTCATGGGATGGTCAAAAAGCTTACCGGTAATGATGACAACTTATTGATATGAAATTCCCGACAGAGAAAGAAGAATCCTAAAAGCAAGAGTAGAATTAGGATTTTGTTCATCAAATTTGAAACATAAACACAATGGTATGTGATTGACAGGGAAGAAGGAAGCTTCAACAGCTCGGGATGGAGGATTTACGACACTTCCGTGTGTGTGTCGATGGGAAGGAAATAATGGAGGCGTGCTAATGAGAAAGAAGTGATTAAATTAGAGCACTTTCGTCTTATTCATTTTACTTTTGGTGAGTTTTAATTGTCTTTATTAGGTTTTGTAATTTTAAACATTTTATTTTGATGAGTTTTAATTGTCTTTATTAGGGTTAATTTAAACCTAATATATGTTTTATAAAATTGGTTGACAAAAAAATAAAAAAGTTTGAGCAAATGATATGTAGCAAAATCCTTCTTAATAAATGAAGGTTTTTTTTGACACTTGTCAATCTCTCATGAGTTTTGACACTTGTCATTTTGTGGTAATTTTGAAATAAATATTATCTACTTATCAATTTTTTATTTGTTTTAATTTTTAATTAAAATAATATAGTTATATATGTAAAATATTAAATATCATATATATGATATTAAATTGTATTTATATATGATATTAAATTGTAATAAATACGTTTCTTTATTTCTTATTTTAAATTTGTATACTAAAAATATTTCCTTTTTATACTTTAAGTTTAATCATTTTTTAAATTAACCCGTATAATATACGGATGTCACAAGATCTAATGATGCAAAATCTAAGAATAAAATGGAATCAACAGTTTGATACTTGAAGATGATGCAATCAAGTTTTTTTTTTTAATATATATAATAAAGATAAAGATTATACAATAATTTTGATTATTAAAATTCCATTTATATGCTAAAAAAAAAAAAAACATGTTTTTCATATATTCAGTAAAATTTATAAATGTACAAAAATAAAAAATTCTTCTGATTTTGTAATCCGTTCTTCCGAAGAATATAAAGAAGCGGTCGATTGACAAACAAAACACACACAGTAAAACCTTTGTCTTTCCGACTCCGGCAAGCTCAAAACCCCCCATTGGATTAATTATAGAGCGACAAGAGAGATTTGCAGAACCTAGAAAGCTTTCATTTGGAGATGCATGAAGTGGAATTAGAGCCACGGGTGAAACCCCTAACTTACAAAGTAAAGGGCATTTCCAGAGAATCGCCATCGCAGAAAGCTTCTCATGTTCTTGACATTGACCTCCGTAATCATTGGTCCACAGCTACCAATACCAAAGAATGGATTTTGCTTGAACTCGATGTACAGTTTCTCTGCTTTATTTCTTCTTTTATTCTAATTGCTTGAGCTGCTTATGGGTTCAATTTAAGGTTTTGTTTTGTTGCGCCCCTCTTAATGATAGGGCACTGTTATATTAGCATGGTTTAGGGTATGAGGAACTGCAATCGTGACATTTGATGATCTTTTAAGTAGACATATGCTGCTGTTCCCCAATTACATTCGAGTTTTCACTCTTGTTATGATTAATAAGTGTTCTACTGCTATCCTGCTTTATTAAAATGGAAA